ACTCAAAGGTTCAGACAGAAATATATAGAAGTGTTCATTTGTCGCGAAGAGAATAATTTTTATTCGTTTTTTTCGGATTGTTTCAAAGATGAAATGCGAAAGTGTTTATGGAGTTTGACGTTTTTCGACACAAAATGCTGGCATCATTTTGTGGATCAAATTGATGAAACATTCGGATACCTTTGATACGTCCTAATCGACAAAAGTATGAGAGTTTATTGCAATGAAAGAAAGTTTTACCTTTATTTTTATTCAAACACTCGGTAAGCAAATCTTTCGTGACTCTCTCGATATCGTCACGCTTCAGATAACAAAAATTGATTGGCGGTTCATTGGTTTAGCTTAAATTTGCTGCATCTTCGTTAGATTTCTTAGTAAAATTTAAAAAATCTTCTATAGACGAAATCAATGTATCACCAAGAAGTACAGCTCGGTTAGCACTTGACTTAACCGCTGCCCCGGTACCATCGCATGGGCTCTCACCATGACCACTCGCTGAGAATGCCCAAGAAGCGGACATATTGAAATCATACTGGTGATGCTGAAGGTTAATCATATTAAAATGATTTTTAAAATGGGCGGGTGCACCGTCACTAGAAAGAGAAAAAATTGTGGCTGAAACTTTGTAATGCTAAGTAACTACCTTAAATACTTGATTTTCTTTACTTGAGGATAATGCTTCCTTAGAAAGTCGACAATAAGACGTTGTGCACCGTGAACAAATGCTGTATCGTGCCGCATGTAATCACTTATAATCACCATATTGTTGTGTTCGCTTCCAATTTTCATATGAATGGTGAAAAGCGTAGCTTGCTGGTTATTCCAATGTGCTGCCTGTACCTCTCGTTGTCTTAAAAATGCATAATTTTCGGCAAAATCTATTTGTATAACGGCATATGATACATGACTTGATTTTATTCTAAGGTCATTGATGAAATTTCGTTGTTCACGATTGATATAGCTATGTTATAAAAATGCGGACCAATTTTCATCAATTTCATAAAATAGAGATGTAATTGTTCCACGTATTTGATGTAAATCAACTTTTTTATCTATTGGTTTCCATACGGACCGCGAACATTTGTCATCTTCATCACTAGTATCCAATTGATGTCCAAGAATTGATGAAGGAGTTATGCTGTTACACTGTGCACAATCGCCTAAGAAACAATCTTCGATAGGTGTATTACAAACTACCAAGTCAATCAAATCGGATACAGTAATTTTCGTAAATTGTGCGCTCGCAAGTGGCTTCGTTTTGAGGTAATTGTTAAACGCCTGAAACATTATAAACAATTACTTGCATTATTTTCTATATTTCATTAAAAGCTTTACGTACCTGCAATAGAAGACTCATGTTCTCATGTGTTTGACACATGCACGTTTCATGAGGGCAAGATATTTTGACTTGACGAGGTTTCAGAGAATAAAAACATGATTTTCCAACTCTGGCTGTTGGATGATCGCTATAAAATTTTCTCAAGCCTTCTCGGATCGGCATTGCCATGAATCGAACAGGTACAAGTTGATTCTTTATCTTGAGTACATCCTTGGTATTAGATGAAGCACGACTTACATCATCTTGTAAATAAAATTGTACCACAGATTGAATTGTGTCATCATCGAGGAACTTATTTCCACGAGTATATTCCGGAAACGCCAAAACACCTTTATCTAGACGAAGTAAAATAGATTGTCGAGCTTGATGATCACGTGCTCCAAACCATTGCGATAATGCAGTACGTCCCCAGCTCTCTGGTGCGATCATCATTAAACGAACTTGTTCTTCGTATGTACTTTGCTTGAAAAGCTCCTTCATGACATGTAAAAGTTCATTTGATTCATCGATGCGAATTGAATCAGGATTCAGATCGTGAACTTCATTATCATCATTCTGTTCTAATACGTCGCATAAATGCTTAAGATGTCGATAGACATTGTCGATTTGTTCTCGGATCTTCTTGAATCGACGACTACAATGAAAACAAATTTTTTTCCATAAAGATAGAAAAAGAAAACTCACTCATCACGTATTTTTTCCATATTAAGTAACTGAAAAACAGCATTGAGTTCTTCTTTTGCTGATTGTTTTGCAAAAATACTTTCTTCACGATATGGTGAATCAATTTTCTCCATTTCATCTTCAAATGCTATATCCATAGCTTCCAAATCGAATGAATCATCTAAGACATTTGATAAAGATTCATAACATCGTTGACACACCTTACCACCTTCTTTCAAAATTACGGAAGCCCAATGTGGATTACACATGATTTGACGATTGATTAATTCTGCTTGCGTTGCATCAATGAACATACGACCTTCACGATGGGTTGGTTTTGAACCAGACCGTGTACAATGAGCATGTGATGGATGAGGACACCAACGTTTTTTTTATATGGCATCTTTAGAAGTACTTGATGAATATATCTCGCTAGCAAGGTTATATTTCATAAAAAGAATTTTCAAAGTGATGAATCATTCCAACCGTTATTAGTAATCATTGAACTTGAACGGGAGAAAACCTCCACAATAACTTCAATTCTTATTTATTATTATGCAGGTATTATGTGACCTCTAACATAATATCAAAGCATTTCAATATAAGATGATGTCGTGAGACACCATATTGATGTAACTGCATTTGATAGAAACTAGTGACTTAGTTATATTAGTTTCATATAATTTCCTAGGAGATACCAATCGATTCTGATTCTGAATTTGAGATCTTAAAGACGAAATTGATCAATCATCAAACGCATAACTGTTTGTCCCTATCATGCATGATGTTCAAAACGTTGTAATGCTATTCAAGC